AGGAGTTTTAGGAAGAGTGGAAGAAGAATTAACCGAAGGAGTGAACACCGAAGTTGTTGTATGTGCAGGAGATTTGGATTATTGCAAAAGATTTAGAATGTCATGATACTGCTTTTCAGTAAATTTAGGCACTGGCCGTGAGATCTCGTGACGGTTGGAGATGTTGGTAGTAATAGGGTCAGATGAAAAAGCACCAGAGGCAATATTATTGATCATGCAATTTTTATATTCTGGTGGAAAACCATATTTGAAATAACACATATCCACTGTGTGATTTTTATTGACCTCTGCCTCATCCTCTATAGAAAGGATTCGATTTAGAAACATCATTATTAGACTACAAATTCGGAGAAGTAGTAGTAACTAGGGCTTGTGAATCAAGAACAGTTTCAAACGAACTAAGAATAGAATGTAATTGACGTTCTTGCTGGATAACCATGTTAAAAACTTTGATAATATCGGGAAGAGGATCGATTAACATAATCTGAGATCTTACGGAGACATACTGATCATTGAGGTCTTTTAGTAATTGAATGACACAATCTTGCTTCTTATAGCGTCGGACAAAATCAAGAGTATCACAAAAACATTTGATAGTACATGTGCAGTTAACAAAGGGACGAAAATTATCGATTTCCTCCCAAAAAGTACGTACACTGTGTAAATTTTAATTACAGAGAGAGTACCTTGGTGTAGTTTATATAAATCTTCCTGTAAATCTACAATACGAAAAATATTTCCTTGATGAAAGTGATGGTACAAATATTGTCAAACGTCGAAAGTATGTTTGATCCAGAAAATGAATTTAAGAATGGTTTTATGCACCGATCGTTGGATCCAACAAATAACCATTGTGTTGCAACAATCTGAAGGTTCATGAAGAGGGCTAGTTGATGGTGGTTCGGTGAGAGTGTCATCGACAAATTTCAGCTTATTCTTGAACTTGAGCGCAAGTTTCATGGCGCGGGCCTAGACATGATAATTCTTACCATCCAACAAGGTGGAGACAAGAACGAGAATATGGTTTTCATTGGAAGAAATAAAAAAATGATTTGAGTGATTAGTGTGAAAGTCAGTATAGGGTTTGGACAACATAAGAATGGAGGAAAAAATCAATAAATAACATCTGATATTATCTTACTGTTCATTTAAGGTATTTGATTTGAATAATTTTCTATATTTTATTTAATAAAAACCAAGAAAAGTGAATCACCAATGACAAAATAATTTTAAAAAATAAAAAATCACTAAATTAATAGCAAAATTACTTTTTAAACAAAAAACCACACATGATACCCGTTTTAGAAACACAAATATAAAGATAAGATTTTTAAGAGTTAAGCCTCAAAGTTGAGAGAATACTTATTTGTGTGTTATTTTGAAATTTAATTAGGAGTATTAAAATAAATTTCACTCTATGATTAATCAAAAGATTCAAAAATACTTATTTTTAACAAGGAATTTACTTATTTTTAAAAATAAATATCAAAATAAATTTTTAATAATTAAGATTAATTATTATTTTAAAATAATAAATTATTAAAACAATAATAATAATAATAACTTATTAGACTTTTAATTTGTTTTACTTTATTTGTAGAAATAAGATAAATCGGATTGAATCACCCATTTTAATTATTTTTAATTAATCAATTATAATATTAATAATACTTTTTTATTAGAAATTATTGTTGCTCAACAAGGAAATATGTAGGATCTAAAATATTTTTTATTACTTTGTGTCCTAAATTATGCTCAATTATATATAATAAAAACTAACGTAGTTCATATTGTTCAAAAGATTCAATATCATAACATTTAATCTTATTTTCAAAAAATCATATAAATACGTGACAATAAATTAAAACAAAGTTGATTTAGAAAAAACAAATAAATAAAGATTTAAATGTAAAACACCAATTCAAATCCAAACATATGCGATATGAATTCATATAAACTCAATTGCATAGAAAATATTAGAACATGTTGAAATCACAATTGCAATCCCTAATAATCAGAATTCAAGTCAATTAAATGATTTTAGGCTATCAATTGATTATCTATCATTGGTTAGAATAAATTTCATTTTGGTAAATCTATTAGAATAAATTTCATATGTCGTGATCATAATTATCATTAAATTTGTGTTACAAAATTTAACGTTATTTAAAAACACAATATCAATTCACATTTGTCAATTGAAAAATCAAAATAAATTCTTAAAGATGTAAACATTTAAAAGAGACTTTTACCCAAAATAACAAAAAAGTATTTTATTTTTGTCAGACTAAGTCTAGATCTAAGCATGCTAATAAAATTTGGATTAGATTGATCAGTGTAACAAGTCAAATAAAGACCTTATGAATAAATGAGGTTAAGTTCAACTTGTGAGTTAAACCAGTAAAAAATCCATAATTTAATTAATCTAATTGACCTAGTCCAACTTTTATGTATTTATTTTTTAAAACTTGTTGTTTAGTTTTTGTTTATGAATTTGTATGGTTATTGAGAAACTTTTTTTCAAATAATTATTATTTTATTAAAATTATGTTTTGACATTTAAATTATAAATTTCGAATCAATTATATAAATAATATATTCTAAACAAATTTTTCAAATAAAATATGTATTAATTAATTATTTAAATTGATTATTTTTTTTTGTAGTTTTTTTATTAATTTCTTTAATTTCTTTTTGTTTCTTTTCTCTTTTATTTCTTATTTTTTTATCTTATATTTTTTTCTTTCACTTATTATTTTAATTAAACTACTATATTAAAATTTAATAAAAATGTATTTAAATAAATATTTTAAAATCAACATTAAATTAAAACAATATTAACTAAATATTTAAAAATATGAGGACAACAAAAAAATTTATTTATTATGAAATAAATAATTTTATTTATAATATAAATCGTTAATTTAAATTTTTTTTATCATAATATATAATTACTCAATTAATTAAAAAATATTAAATATTTATGAATCATATGTATTTTTAATTAGTAATTTAATCTAGATTGAATTATGATAACAGATTAATTTAAAAAAATATTTATTAAAAAATATATTTTAAAATAAATATTTATTTTTTTCTTAATAATTATAATATAATAATAATCTGTATAATACTTAAACTTACTATATAATAGTTTTTAAAATATAATATATAAATTATAATATTTGTGAATCATTTAAATATTTTTATTTTTTAAAAATAATAAAAAATTCATTTTATTAATTTCAATTTATCAAGGAAAGAAAAAAATAGATGAAGATAAGAAAAATAATAATAAAAAGATAATTATATTATATTAGAGATATTTATTTTAATAAATAGATTTAATTATATAAATAAAATTTAAAAGATTATATATATGTATTTAATATATTATTCATAAAATTAATTTTATATAACTTATTATTTTAAATATTTTATTTATAAAATTGATTGTAGATTATTGTTATCTTTGTCAAATGCAACCGGTCAATTAGAGATAGAATCCGAATGAAGAAAAAATAGGAAAAAAAAAAATCAACGAGGAGGAGTAACGTATGGACAGAAAGGGCAATACGTAGCAGAGGCGAGCGAGAAGAGATCTTAGAAGGGTAAGCACTTTCCCTCCCCTTCCCTTCCCGAGCGAACATTGAATGGCTTGTGGTTCTACTTGCACTTGTAGCCCTAGGGTTGGTATATATAACCTCAGTGCCTACCAAATCTTTGCCTACATTTTCTACGGAGTAGTTGAAAGGAAAGTTGTCCATTTGTTTGTGCCTGAATCAAAATAGTGATGAAAATAATGACCAAACGGCTGAACCAAATTTGTGAGTGTTAACGTTAACGTGGGAAAGAAAAAGAAAAAAGCAAGACACGTTTTTTAATTTATTATTTTAGTTCCCAAAGGCCAAACACATATATTGACGTTGTCGTATTTTGCATTCTCTCTTGCGGGTAAAGCAAAGCAAAGCAAGGGCAATCAATAATAATACCAAGAAAGAAAACCAATGCCGTGTGGGTTGGGGTCGTCGTCGTCGTGACTCATGTGAGTCATGGGGTATGCTAAAATGTTAATGCTCATTTTCACTTTCTTCTCTCCCATCCATAACATTAACCCCTTAACAAAACTAAATTAAATCAAACCCTCCTTTTGTATTTACATTATATTTTATTATGTGCCTTTATGGCTAGGTAAGTATTATTATATGATATGGATACTTTATGATATATTTATTTATTTATTAGTATGCTGATGACTATGGCTATGGCCTCTTTTTCTTCTTCTCTAGCCTGATCTTGATTAAATGGAGACATTTATTATTGTTTATTTGATAAGATTTGAAATGATATGAAGCCCACTTCGTGAATCCAATCCATTTACTCTATTCTATAGATTGTGGCTTCAACTGTGAAAAATTGTTTTTTGTACAGAACGTTTTCTTGAAGTTGCATCAATTGAGGGATTCCTCATCTTTGGATTCGCTTTTGCTGCCTCGGAGTCAGAAAGGGGAGATGCTGGGATGAAAGCTGAATTTTGTGGTATGAACGCTTTTCTCACTCTTTTGGAATAAATTGGTTTGGTTTCTTTGTTATTGGGGTGGGTGGGTTAAGATCAGGGGAAGAGGAAAGATAAAATTGAATCTTTGGTATTTTTTTTAACCAAAAAGATGTCCAAAAAGATGGGCTTGGAGAGAATAGGTTCTAAAAAGAGACAAGGTGACATCAAAAGATCAAAACCCAGATGTAGAAATGACAAGTAAGAATTGATTCGAACCTTCTCTAACATGGCATAAGAAAGTATCCAATGATTCAACCTTTATCCTGCAACACTACAACTGGATATATAAATCACTGTCTTTCTGATATTTGCTTGATGTCAGCTTTAACAGACTGTTGATTGCTTGCCACAGTTAGTAATGCATGATTCATGCCTATAATAATGAATTTACTGTTACGATTGTGAGTTTATGACTAGTCTCCTGTGTGTTTACTTATTGAGAATGTATTGTGCTGCTGTTAATTTGCAGGAAATGGCAACTCTAGTTGAACCGCCAAACAGAATTAAGCCAAAGGGAAAGCATTATTATACAATATGGCAAACATTGTTTGAGATTGATACGAAGTACGTTCCAATCAAACCTATTGGCCGAGGAGCATATGGCGTGGTGTGCTCTTCCATCAACAGGGAGACCAATGAGAAAGTTGCAATTAAGAAGATTGGAAATATATTTGAGAATTCTATTGATGCTTTGAGAACTTTAAGGGAGCTGAAGCTGCTTAGACATATTCGGCATGAGAACGTCATTGCTTTGAAAGATGTTATGATGCCAATCCAGAGAACAAGTTTTAAGGATGTCTACTTGGTCTATGAACTCATGGATACCGATCTTCACCAAATTATTAAGTCCACGCAGCCACTTTCCAATGATCATTGCAAATATTTCTTGTTTCAGGTACTAACCAGTTTGTTATGGTATTTATTCCATTTCTTCGGCACTTATTTTTAATTTCTAAATCTGTGGTTGTGAATTCTTTTTGGATTTGCAGAAATGCATAAACTATTCATTTGAAGGATATCTGGTTGGGGTTTGAAGTATAATTGCAAAATACACTCTTTCAGTGTTTAATTGACATTGCCATGCTTCCAAGTGAATTCCCCGTTTAATATGAACATACAACATAAGTGAATATATTGAATATCCTCTTTCATGCATTCTTATACAATATAGGTTGTTTTAGAGGAGCTGGGACAATTTGACTAGTGGCCTCACATTTCCTAGTTTAAATGTATGTTTCCTTTAGGCAAAGAATTTACTGTTTCAGTTCCATGATTTTTCAGGTGAAGTAGAATAAATTATCATTCTATAGATTAGTGAAGTCTAGAAAAGGGGGGTTTTCTGTAATTATCTTCTGGCTAGATATTGGCATTGCATTTTAACCCCACCAAATTTTGTTAAGCCAGGGGATTAGATCATTGATGTTATATAGGTTTGTCCTTCTGTTTAGAAATTGTGAACATGGTTATTATTCTCTCTACCTTTTTTGTGTCTTCAATTCTGGATCATGTCCTATCGTCTGTGAAGTCCTGCATTGGTTTGCAAACTAAAATATATTATAGATGTTAATAACTATATTCAAGTCTTAGCCAACAAGACTAGACAAAGAATGCCATTGGACCGAATTGGGAAATTTACGTGACCTTAACATTTTTTTATTAAATGATTAAGCTTCTTAACAAAAGAACCTATTATTGATTATACTTGTCACTCATCTTCTCCACATTTTTTTCTTGAGTTAAGCTGTAGAATGTTTAGCAGCATTGACAATTAGAAAACAGTTAATGGAATCTTTATGAATATCTATCTAATCTTTGCACGTTTGAACTATTCTGGTGATTGGTACTAACCATGTACTCTTACTCTAGCTCCTTCGAGGTCTTAAATACCTTCATTCAGCAAATATTCTTCACCGGGATTTGAAGCCTGGGAATCTGCTCATCAATGCCAATTGTGATTTGAAGATATGCGACTTTGGGCTTGCACGAACTAATGGAATTGATGGTCAGTTTATGACAGAATATGTTGTCACTCGTTGGTACCGTGCACCGGAGCTCTTGCTATGCTGTGACAACTACGGCACCTCCATTGATGTCTGGTCAGTAGGGTGCATTTTTGCTGAGATTCTTGGTAGAAAGCCAATCTTCCCTGGCACTGAGTGTCTCAACCAGCTGAAACTAATTATAAGTGTTCTTGGAAGCCAGCATGAATCTCATCTTGAATTTATTGATAATGCAAAAGCCAGGAGGTTTATCCAATCACTGCCCTATACTCGGGGTAGACACTTATCTCAGTTATATCCACAAGCAGATCCATTAGCCATAGATTTGTTGCAAAAGATGCTTGTATTTGATCCAACCAAGAGAATTACTGTCTTAGAAGCTCTCCAACACCCATATATGGCTGGCCTTTATGATCCACGGTGCAACCCTCTTGCTCAGGTTCCCATCAATCTTGACATAGATGAACATTGGGGGGAACAGATGATTAGGGAAATGATGTGGAATGAGATGCTACATTATCACCCTGAAGCTGTTTCTGCCAACGCATAGATCATTGATTCTTCCAAGGCTTTCTAGCCCCGTTGCTTGTGTCTAGGAGTAGTAAGTAGTTCTGTTTTTTCCCTAGATAAGATGTAATCTTAAAGGACTTAACTGCCGAATTTTGTACTTTGCATGAGATTGCTTTGGTACTTTTTTTTTTTTTTAATTTGGCGTCTCCACAAGGACAATGGCATCTTGTAACTTGTATATAGCCATGCATACCGTTTTGGTGTTTCGGCTAAACCCATTTGAACTATGTTGTTCATCAGTTATTTTCTATAATTTAACAGAAAAGAGATGATGCTTTCCTTAAATAACACGGCAGTTCTCTATAACTTGAATGTGGACCAGGCTACTTGGTTTTCAATCGCGGGATTAAGAATTTTCAGTGAGTTCATAAGATTTGTCAGAGCTCATTCATACCCTCACTTATGAAACTTGTTGAAATATATTGAAAAAGAAAGTTATAGGAAGGTAATATATCACTTCTACAACAAAATGACAGTTATAAAACAAAATGAATCAAATATTTTCATGAATTTTTCCGAGCTGTAATAATATTTTGAGGTAGACACAGTAAGAAGATTGCAATCATATAAACCATTAACTTGGTTACTGAATTGATAAACGTTGGACAGTGTCTTCAACTGAGATGAGAATACCATTTGGATTCTCTTATGATGCATGAGTGAATTTCAAATCACAAACTTTTATTCAAGAAAAATAAATTCATACTGAACATTAGCATAAATGTAGATGGGAATGAAATGACAGCCTTTTCCCCTTAAAAAAAATGCTAATATGGGCTGGAAGTCTTAACAGAAGCTCATGGTACTGATGTCGGATTCCAAGAATATAGGTAAAAGTGGGAATCAAACTTTAATGATTTTTAGTTTCTTGTCGGATCAAGCCGAATGTGAATTAAATACTTCAAACGGTAAACCAAATACGTGCTTAACTTACACAAACACAAAAAATGGAGGGCATTTTTTTTTTAATAAATACTACCATTGTAATCCTTAAGAATAAATTTATGAAGACCAATAGAAATAAGAGACAATTACTTATTTAATGACATTAAATTACTCATAATCAAGATATTTTTGTATCAATGAGTATGACTTTATAATAAATTAAGGTATAAAAGAAAACTAACAATATACTAGTACATTTGAAAGTAAATATATGTTTCTTATAATTAAAACAAAAATTACACTCATTTAATTCTTATATAGTAAAATATTTGAATAATATTTCATTTAATATTTTTGTAAAAATAATAAATTAATATAACTTAAACATCTTAATCTTTTAATCTTACTTATAATTTTTTTATATTTGATACAAGAAATCCTTACTATTATTGAAAAATAAATTTATATTAATGATAAATAATTAATGTAACAATATTTAATAAGTATTTTATAAAAAAATAATATTTATCAATAAAAGATTATAAACCTCTCTATATGTATAATTATCTCTGTAGTTATGTTCTAAGTGTATCAATAGTCCAATCTATAAATAAAAAAATAAAAACAAGGGATGTTAAATAATTCAATTAATAATTACTACACTAAAATACAACATATATTATTATATACACATTTCTTTTACCACGACACATTACATTCAATTTAGCATGATTATACATCTTTCAAAAACTATTATTATATTTTAGGGCTTACATTGAAACTATTTTTTATTTCTTTATAATTCTTTTCATCTTAATTTAGATATCTTATAGTATCAAAATAAACTATTAATAATTTCTTCATCGACTTTTCACCTATTGATATTTTAGTCCATTAGGAGTAGCATTCTTAACTTGTAACTGTACACACACAACATATGTCTCATATTCCATCTCACATAAAGGTTTATATATATATATATATATATATATATATATATATATATATATATATATATATATATATATATTGTTTGCTTCTACATATTTACCGTTTATGTAGATTTGTCATTGGATATGGGCATGGGTGTGGAGCAAAGAAAAACATGTATTTGTAACAAAAGTGGAGTAAAATAACATAAATAACCTCATACAAATAGTGACCTATGTGAATTACAGTTGCCAAGATTCTTTCTGCATGAGTAATGGCCCAACTACTTCTAGTGTAGTGTGGCTCAATCCAATGATGCAAATACTCATTTCTTGTTTATTCATTATATTTCTTGTTTATAAATTGTATTGCATATTTTACACGAGCGTTCATGTCTTCCACGTCTTTTCATTTCTACTTCATTTATCTATTCCACCTTACAAGGGTAATTTGGTCATTACACTAAAATAATATTATTCAATTATCTTATATTCAATCACATCAACTATAAATAGATCTACTCAAATCCCTTCAAATCTACTATCTTTTTCTCAATCCAAATGACCCCACAAATTCACTCAAATCCACTCCCTCAAATTTTGCACCATAATCCAAACATAAGCTTAGCCAAAGGGCTAGGAAATGGGTTATTCATTTTGTCTATTTTTCACTTTGAGAGCAAAAACATATAAAAATATAATCTAAGATAATTATCTGTATTTTGCTTAAACGACCTATTGATATTTGAATAAAAGACAAAACAATTTTTTTTCTATGTAAGTATTTGTTTGAGTAAAAATTAGACTGTTCAAATTCTTTCCACTTAAGATCTTTTCGCGATATAACTCTCGCTTGAATGAAATGTCACCGAATGATTTATTGATTAAGTGACGACTCTTTATTTCAACAAATTGTCATTGAATAACTTTTTTCTTTAAGGACAACCTTTGAACAAATTATAACTATTTGATGTTTTACTTAAAGTGATCAAATGTCGTCCAATCAAAATCAAGTAAATATATTCTATTTTAAACATTTTTTTCACATGAAGACTTAAGAAGACAAATATTCATACCTTAATTATATATCAAAGACAATTATTACATCGGTATAACAAAATATGCAATTTTTACTTACATTAAAATATCCAAAAACATATATATTTTTATTCCAAATTTATTATTACTTGAATAATAATTTCACTTATACTAATATTCCTGTAAACTTCTTTAAATACTTATACCGCCTAAGATCAATATTCAAATTTTAACACCTGATAATACTCTCAACCAAAATAATATGGCCCTTAACTTAATATCAATAAATAGTAAAAATAACTTTACATTTTCAAAGTTATGATTTAACATATTAACTTCTTTCTCATTTAGTTTCTTTTTATTACTCCTAAACCTAAATTTTAATAACATTTTAATACTGAAATTCTAAAAAGAACAATTTTTTTAATTTAATAAGATTGAAATATATAAACATAAAATAGATTGACTCTAGCGTTTACGTACCTAAGCATGTTTTATTTTAAAACCAAAATCTCACGTAACTACAATATAGCGTCCTGATGAAAAAACAAAATAAATAATGTTTTTCCCGTTTCCCTCTCCAATGCGTTCCTATGCAGCTTGTATCTACACTACTACTACGCTCTCTCACGTTAATATTAGGATAATATAATTAAGTTCAGTTTATGAATATCAGCACTTTGTGTTTGGAAAGATGAAATAAAGAAATGAAAAGAAGGAGGGAAACATATTTTTACTAGTTATGGTCCATCTGGAAGAGGAAAAAAAAAAGAAAAAATAGAGTTTTTATTTTTTATTTTTTAACTCCATCTATATTTTTATTTTTCTCTTTTCCACTCAAATAAACTGTCACTGATTTGTTTTTTTCTCCTTCTTTCATCTCACTCCTCCCCTTTTATTCTCATCCAAGCTCACCTAAAAAGATCTGGTAAACATAGGAAAGTGACAAAGTAGTACATGTTTGGATTCAATTGTAAAAGGAGAGGTGTATATGTATGTAAATTGTTTCATTGGAGAGAATTCTTATACATAATCTAAATAAATTTTGAATGGTAATCTTTAGTATCATTGAATGACAAAATTTGATGAAGATGGAGTTAAGATTTATCAAATTTTGTAAATAATATTTCTTCCTTGCATTGAATAACAATTAAAGTAAAAACTTTAGCAGGTAAAGGCCGAAAAGAAAGGTGTTGAAAACAAGTATTGTATAAAGTGAATGTTTGAAACATGATGGGGTGGAATTGTGTGAAAGGGAAGAACATGCGAGAGAATCTGCGTATGATATGATTGTGTGTGGGGTGGTGATGTTATATACTTCCGAATGAAAATGTTGTCGTGATGGATAAATACAGAGTGGAGCAGAAAAGCAATGAGTGAAACACAGAGAGACACACACCAGAGAGAGTGCTCACTACGTAAAGTAACTTAACCAGGACGGCATTTATAGCGTGGTGCTACCTTGTTCCTCTTCCCTGGAGCACCCATGATCTTCCAACTTTTTTACCTTTTCTGTTGTTTGTTTCAAAAGATGCCAAGTGAAAGTGTTGGAATTTTAAATCTTGAACTGTGTATTAATCCCGAATAGATATCTCTGTTCTGAATAACTTCATTATTGATTTTGAGATTAAATAATGTATTATTAATAAATAATAAATAAATATAAAAAAGAAAAAAAATTGAAAATATGGAAAGATATAATTATAAATATGAAATATGGGAGGATAAATTATATAAAAATTAGAGAATCAAAATCGTAAATTATACCGGTATTACAAAATTTTAGAGATCATCACTCCTCAGTTTCCAACAAAATCAAATTAGATATATCATTTATAAGATAAAGATTAAAAAAATTTAAATATTATCTTACAAATTCATTTTATAAAATATTGAGTTAAACTCTTTTTCTTGATTTTTTTAAGATATAATATTTAAAAAGATGAAAATGATAAAAATAAATAAGAATCTATCAATATATTTAGGAATGACAAAATAGACTACGCTCAACAAACCTATCCACCTACAAAATGATAAAACATGGTGATGATTTTAACTTTTCAATTCATTTTAGTTTATTTCGTCTTGTCCAACAATCCAATGAATTATGGACGAAGCAGAGCGAGCT